CCCATTGATCAGTGATGCCATGTTGCTTTCACGGTCTGAGTGCTTGCAACACAGTTCCTCTTTTGGGTAGCCTGAGTGACAAATGGGACCTGCAACAAAATGGTGCAGCATGGATTGTTTTTGCTCAGGATTCCAGCCACTTCTTGAAATGCTCTTTCTTGTGCTTTTCTTATGGTTAACTATGCATCAATTTATTTATCATAACTGTTTATACCCTGCCTTTCAGGAAACAAATTCTTTCATGGTGGCTTACAAGGAACATTAAAACTGAAGTCCTGTGTGCACCATGCATTTAAAGCACTGCTGCATCATTTTAACAGTTAATGCCTTCTCAAAAAGAACTTGGAGAACCATAGTTTGTTAGGGGTGCTGATAGTTTTTAGGACACCCCTATTCCCCTCCCAGAGCTACACTTCCCAGAACAGTTTAACAACCAATTCCTGTTCACAGGGAACCCAGGAGACTGTAACCAGGCAATATGCTGAAGCTCTCCTCTGTGTGCTTCCATATCACCTTGTCCACCATCTTTTAAGCACCAGTCTGAACCTTGGCTGTTAATGTTTCTGGACCCTGTGGAACCCCACATTGAAGGCTTCACAGAGCTGAAAAACACTCCCCAAGCAACACCCTCTGGGGAACAACCATCCAAGTAGGACTGGAACCACTGCAAAGCAATGCCACCCATCCCTAACTCGGACAGCTGCTCCAGAAGGATACCATAGTTGATGGTATTGAAAGCTTCTGACAAGACCAGACAACACTGTAGTGAGCTGAGCTTAGCTGTGTCTGTGCCACAGCCTTCAGAACAATGGCAGCTCCTGCTTGTTAGCTCATAAATAATTTGGCCCAATGGTGTATGGTGCTAATTAATTTTGTGAACTCAACCGGGTGAATGGGGTAATTGCCCGTGCCATGCAGGTGAGTTCCTCTTCCTTCCCTGCTTCCCTTTGCTTACTGTCTCCCCCTTGTTTATTTTAAGCATTCAGACACTTTGTGCATAAAGGGGAAAGTGGGGAGAAAGCCGAGAAGGGGGAGAGAGAGAGAGAAGCGAAAGACGCAATTCGCCCCAGATACGAAGCAGCAGGAATGGAATATTAAATCAAAACACATCCTTGCTCACAGACAGGGGAGAGAGAAAAACACACCAGGCGGGAAAGGTTAAGAGCTAAAACAGATTCTTAGATCAGGCTCTATCTATTTGCAATGCATTAATCAGGCCATTAAGCAAATCTTTTAATCTAAAGTATCCCTTTCATTTCAATACTTTGTGAAACAAAGTAATTGGAGTGTTGATAGAAGACTTTATTGTTGCCTTGCTTGAGTTGGACTGCAGAGATTTGGATTGCAGAGACTTTGGACAGAATCCCCCTGCTACTCTAGGAACAGATGTGGGGAATCTAGGACACCCACCCACCCCAATGTCTCTGGACTGCAACTCTCATTAACCCTGACCATTGAGCATGCTGGCTGGCATAGATGGAAAATACAGAGAGCTCCATGTTCCCCATCTCTGGTGTGGCAAGCACGCCCACACTTCCAGATTCCTACTGGTTTGCCAATTAGCCTGATACTGAAAGGTTTGTTGTTCACTGTAGGTTCACTGTAGCATGAGGCTACTTCTTGAAGAAATGGCAACAGCTCCAAGTATCCCAAAAGGGAATACCACTAAAGAGCTGGAATTTATATGAAGTGATCCTGGATAGAAATTGCATGTCTGTGTTGGGGAGGGTATTACTGGGATTGTGCAAATTTCTCTTTTCTTCCCTTGACATTTCTCAGATGTTTAGCCTGGAATGTAACCTCCAAATCCACACCCATTTCCCCTGCTAGGGGAAATCTGGTAGAAACATCAGCAACATTTTCCAAAAGAGAGCTTCCCATACCCTTTTATCTGATGCAAGAGAAAATGGGGGGCAGCCGCTATTGTCTCAGCGGGAGCCCTATAGCAGGGAGGAACAGCAGCAGTAGGCAAATCCCCACTGAGGACAGCAGGAAGCACCAATCAGCAGGGAGGCTCAAACTAAGCTTTCGGCTTCAAAGCACAGCAGAAACACAGGGATGTGCATCTTGCTATCTGCCAAGCTCTCGTTTCAGCTTGGGAAATAGTCCTGGCATCAGTCTCCTAAGGCCTAAACTACTGGATTTTGATTGTTTGAGGTTGGATACGAGTTTCCTATAGGGCCTTTGTCACCGCCACTTGCAGAAGAGTCCATATTCAGTTGAATGAGATTCATACTGATATATGAATCCAGTTGCAGCAGCTCCACGAGGGAGTCTGTGTATTCTTTTGACTAGCAGTTTTGCATTCATTCATTTATTTTTTTTCAGTCGTTCATTGCATTTATGCCCCATCTTTTCCCCAAGGAGCTCAAGGTGGCATATATGGTTCTTCCCGTCACGAACACTTGCACATGGGTAGAGACAGCTTGTACCTTTGTTTCAGTGTAACGTGAACAAGAGTAATACGTAACAAGTGAACTGGGATGGAATGTCCCAGGGAGCTAGATTAACCACAGGGTCATGCGTCCGTAGTTCTCTCATCTGAATGTTCACACATGATGAACGCAATGCAGAGATTACTCTGTTGCAAGTTGCTACTATAGGGAGTAGCCACAAATATCACTTTCCACAAATCGTACTGACCCCAGCTGGTGAAATCCCTAGGAGTCTTCAGACACTGCAATAAACACTCCCTTTCTTTTTTGCTTTTCTTGTATCTGCAATGAGAAAGTCTATCCGTGCTGGAATGTATATTCATCTACTTTTGAAAATAATGGTTCTCTATATCCACAAATGTCACAGGAGTGACCTAAATGTGATTTTAGTCCCATACGAGGAAACACCCACCATCTCTCAGTTTTCCTCCTCTTGCTGCTTCTCCTTTTACGGAAATGGGGCTACGTTATAGCCATATTCATTACTTTTGTCGTAAGAGACTTTCGATTATCTCTGATAGAAATGTATTTATTTCTTGGTCTGCTTCAGTCCAGGAAAGAGGAGGGGAGGAGGAATCAATATTTACCAATAGAAATCTAATCCTTCCACTTCTGAGGTTAAATTGTTTACTTCTTTTTTTCCCTTTCCCTGACACAGTGGCTGGCCTGTGTATTACCAAAACACACTAATATTTTTAAAACGCACAAACAGCTGATGTAGACTGGAGTGGAGAAATGCCCTGGTTGTGTTGAAAAGCAAAATAACAACCAAGAGCTGCTGTGGTGCAGTGGTTAGAGCACTGGACTAGGACCAGGGAGTCCCAGGTTCAACTCTCCACTCAACCATGGAGCTCACTAAGTGACCTTGGGCCCGTCATGTCTCTTGGCTTAACCCTACCTCAGGAGGTTGTTGAGAGGATAAAGTGGGGAAGAGAGGGGATACAGTAACAATTAATTGCACGTTCATTCAAAATCCAATTTAAAAAATAGTTTAATTCATTCAATTAAATTGATTAACTTGATCCAGTGATACCAGCTGTTCAAAATCTGAGAGTCATAGATACCTCTAGCGCCCCCGCCACTCCCTTGCATCTTAGCACCCCATAGGTAATCCAAGCAATGACTTCCCTTCTTCTCTTTCCATGGTTCATTTTACCTATCATAAATCCCTGCACATTTTACAAAAAGTATACCATTCAGCATTCCATTCTTGCATCCATCAAAACTTATTTACACTGTTGAATTTATCTTAATGCTGTCAGCATTTTCAGCTGTACACAATTATTCCCCATATATTCAATAAACGTTTTCAAATCTTCTTTAAATGTATGTTCTTCTGGTTCTCTTATTCTATATGTTAAGTCTGCAAGTTGTGCATATACTGTCAACTTAAGTTGTCGTTCTTCTTTGGCTGGGACATCACTTGTTTTCCACGTACCACCTACTTTGGGGACAACTGATCCACACTGCAGGCTGTACCTTGATTTGGTAGTATTTTCACTGAATATCAGGGGTCCTCCAGGGTTTCAGACAGGAATGTTTTTCCAGCCCTACCTGTACGTGCTAGGGATTGAACTAGCTACCTTCTGCATGCAAGAAAGATGCTTCACCAGCAAGCTATGGCTCTTCTCCATGTACCCCTTGCACTGTGTTTCAATATCCCAGAGCTCCCCCCTCCCCCCGCTTTGCAGTAATGGAACTACAACTCCTTGAATATACATATATATCCAAAGTTAAAAGGGAGAGGAAGTGGGCAGGGGAAATCAATGCAGGTAAAAGTAGGCAACTTTCACTCCCTTACTTTTTTTTTCCTGTTCAAAAGCCAAATGTGTCCTCCTTTTTTTGTTTTTTAGGGAAAGAAAAATACACTCCTCAAAGCTGGTTAAGATTAAGTGTGCAATTTATCTTTGCAAAAGTTTGCATTTTAAAAGGAACAGCCAACTGTGTGATCGTGTTATTAATATTTATACCTCGTCACAGAATGTTGACAGATTAATTATGCAACATGGTATGAAAATCAGCAGGCAGCGTGGGAAGGCGGTGGCAAAGTTCATGTATTAATAACACAGCGGGACAGCTTGCCTGCTCCTGGGGTGGCTCTGTGCTATCAGATACTGTGTTTCCTAGCTTACCTGAGGTGCCTTCAACCTGGCTACAGTCTAGCTCCTTGCCTCATTATTAGGATAGATAAAATGACTTGCGTGAGAGGGAGAAGACTAGACTAGGCTCTCTGATTTCTTGTTTACCTAGATTCTTACACTCTGAACACAATGCTAATGTGGGCTAATGCTGTGGGTTCCTCTTCATAATAACACAATATGGCAGAACTTGGTCTAGTTCAGTTTGCAAGGCAAGGATTGCCTGTCCAAAATGATGACACTCTCAGCTCGTATTAACCTAGTGGGGTTTTTTAATTATTCTCCAATGATTTAGGCTCCCCCCCCCATGACTGTCTTGTTGAGGCTTGGCCAGGCAGGGCTATTTGACTCTGATGGTGGTGGTGATAATCTTAAGACAGTGACTTTAGGTAGCGCATAAGTAAGGCTCCCTCCAGGTTGGGGAAGGGCCATAGCTCAGTCATAGAGCATCATCCTTGCAAACAGAAGGTCCCGGTTTCAATCCCCAGTATCTCCAGGTAGGGATGGGAAATAATCCCTATCTGAAGCCCTGGAGAGCTACTCCAGTGTAGACCATACTGGGCTAGATGGGCCAGTGGCGGGACTCGGTATTAGGCAACTTGCTATGTTCCTAGGTCTGAGGGGGCACTGAGCAAAATATTCTGTGGTGGGTCACCCTCTTGGTGGGTTGTACATGGAGGCTACTAGCACTCCAAGTCTTGCTGGGTAGCTGGGCTTAGCCACCATTTACATTTCCCATAATGCCTCAGGGCAACAATGCATCTATGGTATTGTGGGAAATTTAAATGGTGGCTAGACCCAGCCACCTAGCACTCCTTAGGGAGCCCAGGGGGAGAGGAGGGGCATGCAGGCATCATCACTGGGCTCAGGCATAGGCCCAAGCATAGAATATGCATCATATAAAAATATGTGTGAATGGACAAACCGACCTTTTGCAATACTTCTCTGGCAGCTTTCACCAAAGCAAGCAAACCCACCAAACAGCCTAGAATACCAAGCAGGCAGGAAAGCAGGAAGGGACGTGGGTGGCGCTGTAGGTTAAACCAAAGAGCCTAGAACTTGCCAATCAGAAGGTAGGCGGTTCAAATCCCCACGATGGGGTGAGCTCCCATTCTCAGTCCCTGCTCCTGCCAACCAGCAGTTTGAAAGTACATCAAAGTGCAAGTAGATAAATAGGTACCACTCTGGTGGGAAGGTAAACCACGTTTCCGTGCGCTGCTCTGGTTCGCCAGAAGCGGCTTAGTCATGCTGGCCACATGACCCGGAAGCTGTACGCCGGCTCCCTCGGCCAATAAAGTGAGGTGAGCGCCACAACCCCAGAGTCGGCCACAACTGGACCTAATGGTCAGGGGTCCCTTTACCTTTACCTTTAGGAAAGCAGGAAGGGAAATCCATTTTTCATTTCTAGGAACTCCCAGTTAAAAAGAAATCAGAGATATACTATAACAATGCATTATTAATTGCCAAAGATGTGCAGCCTTCACTCCTCCCCCATCCCCACAAAAAACAAGCAAACAATCCACTTTCTCTTAGATTTTCTCCAGATCCTAACAATGGGTCACAAGTCCTGCATCAGTCCCTCCCAAGACACCCTGGATTTCACTTCTGGCAATACTCAGTGGCAACTAAGAGCCAGCCAAGTGACACATCATTCTGTTATTCTTATGGCAAGAAGCTCAGATGTACTTGCAAAGAACACCAAAGGGCTCTCTTCTGGGGAGGGGGAGGTTGCATCTGACTTGCCTTCTGCTCAGCAGCATGTTGATAGAGAGAAGGAGGTGTTGACTGGGTTTCACACTCCTTTCATTGTTATGTCTAGCGGCTTCCCTGATCCTCCCCCTCCAAACTTCTAGTGGAAATTAGCTGCTAACTAGAAGATGCTTGGCCAAATTTGAGTCATCTTCCCAAGAACTGACATTTGACCTGACCCAGTAAAACTCCTCTTAAGTTCTTTTGTTTAATGTGTAGACTCAATGCTAGAAATGTGAATGTACTCCTCCAACAAAATTGGCTAATCTTGTCATTGCTTATTTAATTTGTGTCAAATTTCCTACAGATGTCTTGATCAATGATGACCCTACAAATGCCTCCCTCCCTTCTTTCCTTTATCTTTTTGCTATAGTAAAATTCAGTTGTAACTTTATAAATAATGAGGATAGTATAGCCTGCTGAGAAGTTCTCACACTCTCCATTCCTCCACCTCCCAACGTTCAAGCACCTGCTGTCACTTGGCAATAGTGGTGGTGACCCCTGCCCAATTCACACTGAATGAAGGGGGAGTCTAAGGACCCAGAATACAGGTGGCCAGACTCTATCATGGCATTGGTTGCTAGAGGAGGAAGCTGCAGGAGTCTATTGGCTGCTCTTCAGCGCCAACCGCTGAAGATGGCCAGAGGTTGCTGCTGCATCCACTAGATTAGCAGAGGTCAAGTGATGAACAATCCCAAGAGGATATTTTCTCTCTCACACCTTGATGTATTTCTCTTCCCCTTAGTTCTCCTTCTGCTAGTTTGGCTACTCTTATTGCTTGCTAAATCACTTGTGTGTTGAGCTAATTTGCCTGCCTTGTGGTTCCTCCTTAAGATCTCAAGGCCTGATAGGTTGTTTCATTCTTCAAGTGCAAGCTGTTCCTGAAGCTCAGGCAACTGTGGCATGAGCAACAGTGGGAAACATTTGTTTCTTGGACTCATGGACACCTTGGGCTCAGATGCAACTGTTCTGTGTGTGCCCCATAGGGATGAGGAATAAAATCAGTTTTGTTTACATTTTAATGTGGACCTTCCTAATTTGTACTGCCTGAAATGCAGCTATCCTTCGAAATTTGCGCTTCTCTGAATTTTGTGACATGGGTATCCAACCCGAAAAAAGTGTACAAAAATGAATATTGTTAAGGGAAAATATGCATTAAAAAATCACATATGAGTGATGCATTGTGTGCAAATGAGTATATATGCAGAAACTTGCCCTAAAATGCTGGTGGATATTCATGAGGACTTTTTAAAAAATGCAGACTGATGTAGAAATGTGGCAAAGTGAAATTCAGACTGGAAAAAATGAGAACTGGAGAAAAACAAAACATCACAGATTAGTTACCACATGTTTCCAGTGTCACCCAAAGATAAAGTCACTTAAAAGGTAAAGGGACCCCTGACCATTAGGTCCAGTCGTGACCGACTCTGGGGATGCGGTGCTCATCTCGCTTTATTGGCCGAGGGAGCCGGCGTATAGCTTCTGGGTCATGTGGCCAGCATGACTAAGCCGCTTCTGGCGAACCAGAGCAGCACAGGAAAACGCTGTTTACCTTTGCAATGGAGCAGTACCTATTTATCTACTTGCACTTTCACATGCTTTCGAACTGCTAGGTTGGCAGGAGCAGAGACTGAGCAACAGGAACTCACCCCATTGTGGGGATTCAAACCACCGACCTTCTGATCAGCAAGTCCTAGGCTCTGTGGTTTAACCCACAGTGCCACCCGCGGTATACTTATTCCAGTGGCAAAATGTTTTGCACCAGCAGAATGAATAAGCAGGTTGCTGGTAAGTTTGTGGGTTGCACAATCTGTTGTGCTCCAAGTTTCCACTAGAGTAACAGAATTTGTCTTAGTTAGTGGACAGAAAGCATTGGCTAGATGTGTTGATTTAAAGCAGAGTCTGTCGTGGCCAGCGGAAGGATGAGGAAAATGTGCTACATACTCCTTATTGCTTTATTTACAGTTCAAAGCTGGTATATTACAGAAAGACATCTTGCCCTGCCGGAGCAGAAAAATGCATCCTCTCTCCTCGACAGCTTGGAGAGAATCACACAGACAGTGAATAACAGGAAACCAGTGTACGTCACATCCAGTCTCCCTTTCCCGTGAGAAACTCCAACAGTACAGACTGTGGAATGCAAAACAATGTCTTGTGACTGCAGTTGCTGCTCAGTGAGGGAAATAGAAACCAACATCCTTCCCCTTTCTGTGAACATCACTGGGCAGCGTGTTCGTACAGTATCAGTACAAACCCAACTTCTGCACATAGGTACAGTGTTGATCCCTTGATACAATCTTGGACAATACATCAGCAGGAATTTCATTACCTGGCATATAGGACACTGTTACGAGTCCCTTCTGAATACATTCCCTAGCATGCTGCAATTTTAATTGCAAGTGCTTTGTGCTTTGCTTACAACCTTCAGACTTCAGCAAAGCCAAACATGCTTTGTTGTCCTGGTAAACCTGGATTGGACATTTGACAGGAATTTTCATATCTTTGCACAATTGTACTAACCATTCACAATCCTTAAGTGAATAAGACAGTGCATTCAGTTCAGCTTCACAAGTACTTAAGCTAACTGTTGTTTGCTTCTTGCATGACCAATCAAACAGACTCTGATTGTACATGTAGCAAACTCCAGACGTACTTTTCCTGTCTGTAGTGTCACTTCCAAAACTTGCATCTGCAAATGTTTCAAGACCACCAGACTTCTGATTGTTAAATCTCAGTCTGTAATGCATAGTGCCTTTCAAATACCGCGCTATGCGTTTCAGAGCTTTCCAATCCTTGACACTAGGATTGTTGACTTGTCTGCTTAGCAAATTACAGCTAACAGCAATGTCTGGTCTTGAACATCTGGCAATGAAGTTTAGCTTGCCTAGCACACTCCTGTACAGTGTAGTGTCAGAAAATGCTTCTTCAGTGTCATCTACCTGATAACCTGTTGTCATCGGTGTGTCTACAGGGTTAGCATCCATCAGATTTAGTTTGCTTAACACATCAGCAATTTTCCGTGACTGGTGTACTAGAATGTTACCATCTTGATCTCTCTCTATTTCCAGAGATAGGTAGTTGTTTACCTCACCAAGATCTTTCATGTCAAAGTGCTCTTTCAGTTGAGCTCGGGCGTTATTGTACATTGCGACATCTTTCCAAAAGAATAATAAATCATCAACATAAAACAAACAGTACAGTTTCTTTTGCCCCTCCTCTTTGACAAATACACATGGATCAGCTTTCCCTTGCTGAAAACCTAGAGAAAACAATACTTCAGTGAGTTTTGTGTGCCAACACCGTGCACTTTGTTTGAGACCATAAAGGGATTTCTTCAGAGCACAAACAAATCCCTGTTTTACCTGTACGCCATCAGGTGGAAGCATATAAAGTGATTCATCTAGAGATCCGTACAGAAAAGCTGTATTAATATCATGGTGACTAATGTGTAGATTTTCCTCTGCAGCTAGCTTGAGCATAAGCCTAATGCTTTCATATCTCACTGTGGGTGAATAGGTCTCGTGATAGTCTTCACCTGGTACCTGTGCAAAACCTCTGGCTACCAATCTGGCTTTGTGTCTGACTATCTTGCCATTTTGATCTGTCTTCGCTTTGAAGACCCATTTGCTTCCAAGCAGTTTCATTCCTGGAACTACTGGAACTAGCTCCCATGTTTTGTTCCTTTCTAAGGAATCAAGCTCAGCCTTCATGGCATTTAACCATGGCTCAGCTTCCTTTGAATCCAAA